GGCCGCGTGGCGCTGTGCCGGCGCCGTGGCACGTCACCTGCACTGGGCTCCAGCGTGCGCCGGGCCCGCACCGGTCGCTTCAAGGCCACTCGATTCACTTTTGGGGATTTTCAGGACTGGCGTGACTGTCGCCCCCTCTCCTGGTTCGGAAAAGTGGGCGGCACGGTTTGTCCCCGACGCCAGCGGGCGCAGAGGCAAGTGACACACAACGGTGGCTCCCCGCGCAGGGGAGACGCCCACACCCAGGGAGCCAGAGATTCCGCCCCACAGCCCTCCGTGTTCCGGGCCAGAGTCCGGCGCTGCGGCCTGCACCCGCCCCGAGCAGGGGTCCTCCCGCGCGGCACGGCGCCACTGAGCGGGCTCGCGCCAGCCCAGACAGGGCAAGGGACGGGAGAACACGGGCTGGGAGAGCAGAGCTGGACTGTCTCTGCCACGGGCGACGCAAACTGGGCACGTGGAAAACTCAAAACAGCGGCAAGAACATTCCTGGAACCAAGGAGCGGTGAAACGCAAAAGGGAACAGGCACACCGTGAGCAGGCAAGTCGGGGTCCCCACAGCACGCAAGGGGTGCAAACAGGCTCTGAGCTGCAGCCTTGAGTGGGGTGTGAAAGCAACAGGCCCCTGGCAGAAACTGCAGCCCACGCGCTCCTGCTGCTGGACAAGGGCCCGTCAGGCCGCAGGCCCCCGGGAAGCGCACGTCACTGGGGTGAAGGCGAGCTGCCCCAGAGCAGGGAGCAACGGGCACGTTGTCCACAGCATCGTCAGCAAGCGGAGAAGCTCCCAGGCTCGTGAGGCCTCGGGGCGCGCGGTCCGCGACGCGCAGGCAGGACAGCCCACAGAGCGGCGAGGGAGGACTCGGGGCCGCCATCAGGAAAGCACCCCTGGGTGCGGCGACGAGGCAGTGAGGAATCTCGGGCCTGAGAAACGCAATGTAGGGAACAGCCCGCGTCACCGGTGACACTACAGACACCGGAGGAGCTCAGAGTGGGCCGGACGACCCACGGGCAGGTCGCGCCTCGCTGAGGCACAGTGAGGGGACTGAGCAGGGAGGCAGAGGGAGAGACGGCGCAGGAAGCTATCTCAAGAAAAGTAGTGCCTCAGCGCTGAAGTTTATTGAAATCACAGTCCAGGGCCGGGCAGGCCAGAGCACCTCAGCAGGGCGGACATACCGAAGCCCGTACACCTGCGTCCACAGGGCACATCGCGGACAAAGGACCGGGAAACCGAAGGCCTAGAGGAAATCTCACAAGCAGCGAGCGCAAAGAGACGTCTCCAAAGGTGGTGGCCGTCACCCACTGACTTCCCGTCCGAAGGACAGCGCAACATGTCACACACACTGAGAGCAACTCCATCGTAGATTCTCACATCCAGCAAAAATGTCTTAGAAAAGAGAAGCCAAAGTAGAGACACTTTGAGATGAAGTTG